GCCGGCTGTCAGATCCTGGCCGAGCGTCTCTCTCTCTCCTCACTGCTCTGCATTAGTTAGTGACAGCGGCTCCGTCCTCCGCCCTCCCCCGCCGCCGGTTCCTTCACTTCTTCTCGGATCCCCGCTGGGGAGAGCAGCGGGGATCCAGAGAAGCGGCGGAGGTGAGGACATGACGATCTACCAGTGATCGCTATGCGATCGACTGGTAGATTGCGATCGACCTTGTGGGCACCCCTGGTCTACATCATCTGCTTGGAGAGGGGGGCAGAGGAGGAAGAGAATTGCTTGCCTTGCTGTGCCTGTGTGTGTGTGTGTGTGTGGACACACACTGCTTGCTAGCACCCACAAGAGTAGCTGCATAGGACCCTGCAAGGCAAAGGAGCCACCCTAAAACAGGTTATCAGGGCCAGTCCTCGGTAGACCAGCTGATTCTGCAGGAAACTAAAACATCAAAGCACAGCAAGGGTCTCTCTGCAAAGATCCAACTTGTCTACTAACGAATCAGCGCTAAAGATTTCAATTCAGCAAAGCTTATGCTTCCCACCGATTGGTAAGCTCTGACTCTGCAGGGGGCGTGTCAGACCTCTGCAGAGAAACTACTGCTTCTGCACAGAGAGCAAGGGTCCTTCTCTGCAGCATGCTGGCAGGGGACAGACTTTTCTACCCAGCCATGGCTCCTTTGTAAAGAAACCAAACTGTAATGGTCCATTCTCACCCAATGTGTTAAGACTGCTCCAGGTTTTTTTTTCTCAATTTTAATTCAAAGCAACTCATTAAAATCCACTTTGCTAAAACCAGGGCAGTACAGATGGCTTCAGATTGATTGGGAAATGTATTGAGGGGTATTAGTTAGCACTTTACCTACTGTTTTAGTAAAAATGTGGCTATAGACAGAGAGGTGTCTCACTTATAGCTTGCTTACTTTTCTGCTCTTGCTGAGATTTTCCAGCATTAGGGAAAATATCCGTGTGCAACAGGAAAGTAGGGCTGCAACAACTAATCGACATAATCGATTATAATCGATTATTGAAAAAGTTGTCAACTTTTTAAATCATCGATTAATCGGACAGGAAAGTAATCATATATCTCTCCTTTAACCCGTGTTTTGCCACCCTGCGGTGCACTGTCTCAATGGCAATTAAAATGCTGCGTTGGGAGAATCTAATTGCTGTGCGCTACAAGAAATGTTAAATAGGGCCCAGAATGGCTACCTCTGTTGTATGGCAAGTGCACATGACATGATGGCATTACTTTGTTTCCTAGTAGGTCATAGGACACAAACCTCTATTTAAAGTCTTGTGTATTTTGAGGCATCGGATATTCTAAAGATAAACTGTGTCTGTCAGTGAGATGTGTGAATGGTGTCTGAAGTATAAAGCACCGCTCCATTCTGGAATGTGCGACATCTGGATTTGTGATCAGGGTAATTATGTTGTATCGTTCTATCTCCTCCATTGTCTTCCTGTTGGGTAAAAAAAAAAAGTGCTTTTATTCTGCATATAGATTTTGAGTAAGGGCTCATCCAAATCTATACATTTTACTGCTCTTGTTAGCGCATATAAGCTCCCGCCCACAATGAATGAGGCTGATTTAAAGCCTTGATTCTGTGCTGCGTTCAATGGTACGTTTGCAAATGTCCCGATGCAGCAGTTTGGATACGCTTTACATACAGTGTGCTAATAGGCGTCCTCTAAGGAAACCTTACCGCCTCACTGTGAATAAATCTACGTCTTTTCAACTTCTGATTTTCAGCGCGCAGAACTAAACAAAGCCAAAGTTTCATATGAAAAAATAAATTTTTGTTTCTTTACAGTCCTAAGATATCTGTGAGCCCGTGAGATTTCACCTCACATTTATGACAGCGTGATTAGAACTGTAGGGAGCAGAACTAAATTTGTAACATCAAAAAAACTGCTAGCAGGTAGGTATTTATAGTAGAAGTGACTCGGTGTGCTTCCTGTGCTATACATTTTATTCCTCTGCCTGCTAGCAGTTTAATAATTATACACTGATGGCGAGGCATGCCTACAAGCTTGAGTAAACGTTGGGATGGCGGTCTGGTGCGATCAAAATGCTGCAAGCACTGTTTTGATCGCACCGGACCAGACTGCAGGTATAATGTGCCTTGCGATCCCGTGTGGCCGATCGCATTGCAGCCGGAGGGCGTGGCATGGTGCCATTCACTTCAATGGCCCCTCCTGCCCCACAAAAAAGTGAGCCAGCCGCAATGCGAGGAACCGGAACGCACTGCATCTGGTGTGAACGAGGCCTGAAGGCGGCAGCGATGTATATTACATCACTTCCGCCTTTAGCTGTTATTTCTCTGTCTGAGAGCCAGAGGAGAAGCTGATAAAGTAGATCATTGCTTCATCAGCTTCTTTGGAGGTCCCAAGGGGACATTAGGGGTCTTGGAGACCCCAAAAGTCTCCTTAAAGAGGATCTGTCATTGTTTTTGGCTATCACTTTGGGGGCTTTTTAGCCCCCTATGTGATAGCAATCAAGTGAAGTGTAAAAAAAAAAAAAATTAAAGTTCCACATAAAAATTAATAAAAAAGCACCAAAAAAAGTTTTAAGTCCCCTACCCCCACATGCACGCACTTATAAACATAAATACGCGTCGGGTGCACCTACGTGTGAAAACAACCATTACGCCACACGTTACATATCACCGCGAACGTCGCAGTGAGAGCAATAATTGTAACACTAAATTTTAAAGCGTAGCCTATGGACAATTTTAGACATGGTAGTTTTTTTGCGATTTTCTATTGACCTGACGTAACCCCGTCTTTTATATTTTACCACAAATGTGGATTCTGATAAATGTTTTTTATAACGTAAAGGAGGGGGAAAAGTTTTTTTTTTTTTTTTTTCAATGTATAGTAAAAAATAAAAACCCCAGTGGTGATTAAATACCACCAAAAGAAAGCTCTATCTGTCCCTAAAAAATGGTATAAAATTTATTTCAGTACAGCGTTACGCGACGGAATAAATGTCAGTCAAAGTACCGCAGCGCGGAATACTGAAAAGTGGCCGGGACAGGAAGGGGGTTTAATACCCCGGTCAGCAAGTGGTTAGAACAAAAAGCGTCTACTGTGAAATCTTCAAATGCAGCTCGTTGCCTTTTGGTCATCTTTAGACACAGCTGTTTACGGAAGGCTTTTTTTTTTTAGAGGACATAATGTTTCTTGATTTTTCACAGTCCGGCATAATACGGGAGGGTTGGCAAGTCTAGAATGTGCTATAAATAAGTCACTCAGCCCACTGCAGACTCGTAAGAAAGTTATAGAAACTGTTTTGTGAAGTTCTCTTCGTTCTGGCCGGTGACTCAAGTGTCCTCTTTTCTCTTGCAGACTCGGTAGGCACTTGCGTTCGCTACTGAGGAGTTAAGGAATCTATTCCAGGATGCCGCTGGAAGAGGACGGGCCGAGCTGGAAGAAAAGGACGGAAGATATTAGGGATACCTATGAATTCCGGGATGTACTGGGAACGTGAGTATCTCTTGGGTTTATCGATATGGTACCAGGTTGCTACAATGGGGAATTCAATTTTCTTGTGTACTAATGTGGTAACTGAAATATTGATTGTGGAAACCTTTTCAGGTATAACTTTCTTGCGGGCGATTGTGCAAAAATACTTAAACAATTCTCTCAATGCTGACCGAGATAAAATCCCTTTTTTCCCCAAATATCATACACTAGAATTTTTACCATGCTTGGTGCACAGCCAAAGCAACTATTGGTTAGTTATGTTTTACTTTACTTTAGGGATGCACGGATACTTTTTTTATATACCAGTGCCGATACTTGTCATTTTCATGAGAACGACCAGGGTGGCAGCTGGGACCGGGCTCTGGCGCTCCACCACTGTCCTGAAATCATTAGTCGAGATTGTTTTAGAAAAACTGTCACATGACAATAAATAAAAATGTATCAGTACTCGTACTTGTAACTACTTGGGCAAGTATCAGTACTCGTACTCGCAAAAATGGTATCGGTGCATCACTTATATATATTTATAAAAACAAAATCATACATTTAGGCTGGGTACACACCTGAGCGTTTTTTTATGCTCGTTTTTCGTTTTTTTCGTTCAGTGACACGCGCGTTTTACTTGCGGTATAATTTTTTTTTTTTTCCTTTTATTTTCTCTATTTAAAAAAAAAAATTTTGTTTCACTTTTAAACTTCCCGCCGGCTCCGCCCCCTGCGACGCGACCGCTCACAAGGGACGGAAGTCGGCAGCCGCCGAAGACACTGCAGGGATCGCGGACAAGGTAAGACCTGTACGCTGTATTCCCGAGTGTGGCTCGGGGTTACCGCTTTGTTAACCCCGATCCACACTCGGGAATACCAATGGCAACCAGTGTGCAATTGCAGGATCACACTGTCACGGGATGCACATCCTGGGATCGTTCAGATCTGAACCTAGCCTTAATTGCTGAGCTTTGTGGCAGGTTAGATTGTTCAAACCGCTAGGACTGCAATAAAAAAACAAACTAGTTACTTATTTTTTCTGATTCAATGCACAATCTGCAGGAAGAATCCAACTATGTTTTTGAAGGTTATGTCTTGAAGGTTTAATTATAAACCTTCAAGACATTAACAAATATGGCAAAGGGTAGGCAGATATGTATGTGCAGTTTAGTGCAGGGTGTGTTTAGTTAAACATTTTCACTAGACTTTTTTTTTTCAGAATGTGAGGTAGATTAACTTTGAATGTCAGGCAAGGAGCTAAATACAGAGCCGAGATACAGATACGGGGAGTGTTATACTAAAGATTTATAATTCTGTCCATCCAATCCAAAGATTTACACAGCCCTACCAAAAAGCAGACCCAAGCTGGTGACCTACAGCTCAGTTGTCTCCCTGTCCCAGCCTGTAATTGGACATTAAAAGAGCATCAGTAGGCTGATGAGGTCATCCCTCTTCTTACTCTACTCTCTTCTGTTCCTATCAGCATGTTCTTTGTAAATCACAAGCACCCTGCAGGACAGCTAATAGGCTACTGGTGCTGCCACCCTCTCTTCCAGTCTAAATACTGTTGTACATGGAGTTACAAGATGCTCATACCAAGTGATGAATGAGCTTACACTAGCTGCATTTATATAACATTTGAAGTGACATGAAAATCAGGAGTTAAACCTTAAAAATGTATTCAAGTACCCCACCTATTAACAAAAATGTATCTTATTTGTGTATCACTCGGCAGTAGATCCTCAAATCATCTCTGAATTGGTGCTGACACTGTCCTTCCTTCTGGAGGGTGGCTACTTTTGTTCCCTATGTTCCCTGTGTGTTGTAAAGTAGTCCCCCCTCCAAGCTCGCTCCCGTGATGGACTACAATCTCAGTACAAAATGGTAAACTAAATGTGAGATTGTAGTCCATCCCGTGAGCGAGCTTGGAGAGGTGACAACTTTACAACACACGCAGGGACCATGGGGAACAAAAGTAGCCCCCCTCCAGAAGGAAGGACAGTGTCAGCACCAATTCAGAGATGATTTGAGGATCTACTGCCGAGTGATACACAAATAAGATACATTTTTGTTAATAGTTCAGGTACTTGAATGTATTTTTAAGATTAAGCTCCTGGTGTTTAGTGTCAAGTTAATTATTCATTACGGTTCACCATTGCTATAAAGTCAGATTGGTTGGCAAATACCTACCAGCTTCCATTCTATTACCAGTCACCCAATCAAACTTTGCATGGAAGTATGGTCTTGTTAGGTCTGCTTGCCTCCCAGTAGCCAATCACATTTTTTCCCCTTTACATTTACATCGTGTACAGCACAAACCATCCAAGACAATTATTCTCTCTTACAATTTCATAAATGTGACCCTGTTTGTTTGTTGAAAGTCCACCCTTAGCTCTTGGGGCGATGACACTAGAGATCAGGTCCTGGATCCAGAATCTCACTAATTCTCACTTCCTCTCGGTGCTGGGATCGCAGCTGTTCGCACAATGTGGAAACTTGGAATGAAAACACTTTCTTCCAGACCGCTTCCTTTTTCTTGATAGACAGCTTGGTTCCTCACTATAAACATGAAGGAAAACTCTAGGGGGAGACGGACGTAGCCGCAGGGAGATGCAAACGGTTTACATGCAACACAAGCACTTTTGGTTCTTGATGAGCTGCTGTTTACGTTTACAGCTTGTATTCTGATCTTGTACAAGAAGCCTCTACAGAATAGTTGCTGCTTGATACCTTATCCTTCATTATACCTGTCAGTGCTGTAACTTGTCTTTTAACTCTTGACAGTCTTGACAAGTGTATTATTACATGGGGGTCTGTATTTTTACCCAGAACAAATTGGGTCAGAAAATAGGGAATTGGGAACCAGGATGTTTTAAGGAATCGGTAATAATTTTGGGCCAATATTATTTTACATTTTGTTTTAAAGGATAAATATTTTTTTTACAGCCTGCACCCATGAAACACGATTTCCACACCACTGTTTTTGTTTTTTTTAAAGAGACAGCACAGCAGAAGCCGTTTCCTTTCCGACTGTCTCTCTCTGGTTGAAAAGGACAACGCTGTTGAAAGATTTCAGGGAGGATGAACCTGCTCTGACTCATTCAGTTCTGTGTGGAAATATTAGCATGAGCTACTGAGCTATATAAACAGGCCTATAAGCAGATTTCAGACACGCTATCTCTAATTGAATCCTAAGGCTATATGAATGGGAGGGGAAGGACTAATTGTGTGCTTCAGCTTCTAAACTTTATTTAAAAAAAAAAAAAAGTATTTTTCATAACAGGTAGTTAGGAGAACAGGAAAACATGAAAAGGAAACATGTTCCATCTGCTAGCTGCTGGTGAAAAAATTAAAATGATCTTGTGATGGCTCCAAGTTGTGTCTTGTAGCTTCCACAAAGCTGAGGACATTCTCCCCTCTCCTGTGTGACAGCACTCGGTAGCCAATCGCCAAACACCATCTCTGTCACATGGGAGTAAGGGACATGAGGCACATGCTTACCCCATACCCAGAAGTATCAGATGTGCCACTTTGCTTCCATGGGTGAACAGAGCAGTGGGGAAGTGTTGTGTCTATCTTAGACGATTTATGTCTTTCTATTTCTCTCTTTCAATAGCATGCAAAGCCAGGCTACAGCTAACAAAGCAAGTCGATTATTATCATTTATGAAAAAAAGGTATTTATTGTAGAGACAAATCCATAATGCTGCACCTTTACAAAGTCCAGCCTCATCTTGCGTATGCAATTTAGTTTTGGGCACCAATCAACAGGAAGGTTGTCCATGAACTTGAGAGAGTGCAGAGAAGGGCTATGAAGTTGGTGAGGGGGCTGAAGGACCTAAGCTATGAGGATGGATTACAGCAACTGAACATATTCACTCTGGAGAAGAGGCAATTAAGAGGGGACATGATCGCAATGTACAAACTGTTAAATGGGGATGGAATAATCGGTAAGAAATTGTTTACTCTAAGGTACTCTAAGGCAACCACTTGAGACTGGCAGAAAGGAGGTTTAATCTCAAACTACATAGGGATTTCGTCACTGTGGAGCAGTAAAGTTGTAGAACTCTCTATTACTGAATGGACCCGTGTCTTTATTCATACTTACCAACTATGTAACTCTCTTTATCTCAGCCTTTCCCTTACCATCTCTGTATTCTTCTAGCCATGCACAGCTGGAAATGTGGTCAGCAGGTAGCCCTTTTGGCACCATCCGGTTCAACAAAAGTCAATTTTAAAATCAACTGAGGCAGGTGGAAAAATCTCAACTGAACAGTGACTGCATCTCGTCAGATGCATGGGCCTCGTCAGTCACCTCAAAGGCATTCAGACACCTGCGGGAGCTGACTTTGAGTACAACAGCTAGCAGAGCTGATTCCTCACTACCAGCACTGCTAGCTGTTGTACTCAAATCTATTGATCTCTTGATTTCTCTCTCTGAACGAGCCAAGTGTGTATAGCTAGCATTACTCCTGTCTCTTTTCTTTCTTCCTTATACTTGATGTCTTAATTTTTCCTTCTCTTTTTATATATATATACTCTGATCTCTGATCTCTTATCTCAAATAAGTATACTCTTCATCAGTCTCTTTGCTTCTTCAGTCGTTTCTTTCTCTCAGCCTCTCTTCTTGACTCCTAGAGGGTGGGCAACTCCAGCCCTCCACCTGTTGTGGAACAGGCATGACTCCCAGAGGCCGAGGCATGTTGGGATTTGTACTTAAGCACAGCTGGAGGGCAGGAGTTGCTCACCCCTGCTCCAGATCTTGCAGGCTTTCATTTCTTTTTAACCTCAACACAGTAATCCTTGCTGTATTTCTTTCTACTGTTTTCTTTAGAGATCCGCTGTTTGCAGATAAATTTAAATCGGTGCCCCCAAAACAGACCTATTCCCAACATGTTTTGACCCAAATATTGTCTTCATCAGGAGAGGTGCAGATGATGTCAGTGATCAGTGCATGGCATACAAAAAAATAAGGAAATCGCTTAGTCTGGGTTACTTTGTTGCCTGGCTTTCATGC